AAATTTCAATGACAAAATGAGGATGTCAGCGATAGTTAAACGTGAATTTAGCAAGCTAGTTTACTTGATTCGCCAAGTTTAGTCAATTCAAAATGTTAATTGTGTTACTGGCTAACTAATCATGACAATTAGAACCACTCAATCGAGATTCGTGCCTCGATGTTCCCTACTGAGATAAATAAGATTTTTACAATATTATTGTACAATAGAGTATCAAAACTTATTTTAAAGATAAATATTAGTGTAAAAAAATTAATAACAAAATTGTTGGTTTCAATCTAACATGAACCAAAACAGAAGTTATCATTTAAAAAATTTTTAATCGAGTCATTATATATGTGAAAAATTTATAGAAAAACAATGAATTAAAATTCATCATCATATTTAAACTATTATCGTAATCATGGTGATTTTTGATGACATCTTTATCGATACTCCAATCACTATATATAGCCAATACTTCACTACATTCTGGTCGCGTATCGCTCATAGGACTCGACATCATTGAAATTAATAGCGGATATAAAAGATGAACAGGCTCATTCAAAGTGAAATCACCAATGTAGTTTTGCAGGCTAATTATAAGCATATATAATAAATTAACAACCCCAATAAATAGAAATTTAATAACAATTACCTATCAAACTCTCCAGATAAATCCAGATCAAATATCTCACCACCAATTAGTGCCAAGCTATAAATATCCGATTTATGATTATATTTTATACCCGCATAATCTCGGGCGCCATAAATCTCAGGTCGCCCACTTGGGCAGTATGCATATATGAAGTATCATGAATATTACTATCATGTATGGTGGCCAAACCGAAATCACCAAGCTTTATAAATCGACCATTCCTTACGTTCCTAGCGATCAGAATAGAAAACGTTATTAACCGTACGTTATTAAGTGTGATACAAAATTAGTTTTAGTATAATTAGATTTGTAACATTTGCTAAGACAAGTATTATAAGTTTAAAATTTATAATACAAAAAACTAGCTAATATGATCTATGTAATTTGATTTTTTATATTTTATTTACTTAAATAATTTTCCATTATGCAAATCAAAATTTAAGTGAAAAGTATTTAGCTTTTGAATTAGTTTTAAAAAATAGGTTGTCTATGATTTGATCTACGTTGATTTGATCTACAATACCTAAAATACTAAAATATTAACGGTTCCGACCATTGAATCATTGCATGTGATATATGGTTGGAATCAATGAGTAGGTTCAGAAATTCACTTCTTAATCTGGATCAGCTAATATTCCTCCATGGTTAAAGAAGATAATTCTATTTAATTCAACTAAAGAAGATAATTTCTTAATTTACTCATTGAGCTGATTCCAACGATATATCACATGCAATGATATGATGGTCGGAACCGTTATAAATTGGGAAAGATTTTAACATTATAGGTATTGTAGGTCAAATCAGCGACTACGAAAAAATATAATCGAAAATTTCTACAAATTAAATTGGCGCTGAAATGAATTATCTTTAATTAAACTGAACTAGAGTTTAAAATAAAAATAACTTAAATTTGTACTTAATAGGCTAATAAAATTAATTACCACAATACCCTTGCTTATAAATAATTAAATCAGTAATTGTAACTGAGGAAAACTATAAATTTGGATATTATGTTTAACTATAAAAATAAATATTATTTTTAGGTTTACACTGAAAATCTATTTATCAGATAAAATATAAAAATATATAAATTTAAATATTAAATGAATGCAATGATTAAAAGTAAATTTGTTTATATTACATTGTATCACATTATTTATAGATTATAAACACTCTTGAAATTGTATTTAATAACCTTAAGGCATACAATTAGATTGTAATACTGTGGTGGTACTGGAGCATAAAAGTTTTAAAAGTGAATTTTAAACAAAGAATATTCCTAGCCGTAAACATAAGCATATATCTCTAATTTGGTTAATGTTAAGTCAAAGTTGGAAACATTGATTGACGAACATGTTCTGTGTGGTTATGATTGTCGTGAATAGTTAGCCAGTAACATAATTAACATTTTAAATTGACTAACCTTGGCGAATTAAGTAAACTAGCTTGCTAAATTTACGTTAAACTATCGCTGACATCCTCTAGCTTTAAAGACTAATAAGTTGATATTATATTTATAAATAGTTGTTAACATAAGTATTACGGTACTAATAAGGAAAAATATAATAAAGTTTATGACTAATAAATATTTGTTTGTATGAAAAGAAATTTATTATTAATTTTCAAATTATGAATTTCAACTTTAAGTGATAGAGATTAATATAATAACTAGTGTTGAATCAAATGCTTTAAAATGCAATGTTACAAGGCTAGTTGTCACTATATTTATAGAATGATAACCATTGGTGTAACTAGTATAATAACTTTGTTAATTTATAAAATGTTTAGATAGTAGATTATGTACAGGGGACGCAATTAGAGTCGAACAGAACATTTGCCTGCTTTTTGAAAACTACAGTACATTTCAATACATTCTTATCAACAAATATCTACCACTAATTTAAGAAAATTAATAAACAATAATTATTGGAACATGTTTATTTAATGTTTTGGTAAAAGAGTTAAAGATTTATCCACTGGAAAAGGTGAGGATTTATTTTATTAAACTTTTTATTTTACTTTTGAATAAACTTAATCCATTCATTTGGTTGAGGATTAATAAGAGATAAGACTTTTACTGTTTGACCAAACCATTAAATAAACATCTATCTCATAAATAAATTGATAACAAAATGTATTGAAATGTACTGCAATTTTCAAAAAGCAGGCAAATGTTCTGTTCGACTTTAATTGCGTACCCATGTATATTGTAGTAAAGATATTTATATTGATAAGTTATATCTCATCGTTTTGACATAATGTATATAGTTTATTAAAATATTACAAATATCAATTAATTAATAAAATAATTTTCTAGAAACATTATATTGTATTTTTCTAGAAAATTTATTACTTGCATATCCTGAAACCATTTTAATATTTTTTGAAAAATACAATAGTGTGTGGGTTCACAACATTATCCATATATAATTCTAAGAATAATTTATAGAATATCTAACTGATAAGTTGTAATAAAATTTTTATTAGTTTATATGATGTTACAAACAATTTTTTTTACAAACCACAACTTTGAACACTATTAACTTATACACGGATTTATAATAGAATGAGAATGAGGATGTCTGTAGGATATCTATAATTATGCCCTTTATCAAATATTTTAATTGTACACTTAATACCTGCAACTGTTGACTAAAAATATATTTTATTATAAAATATAGATATAATAAATAAACCTAATGAAAATAGTATTGATTTATATATTTTAATATTTAATAAAACATGTGTATCTTATTATTCGTACATATAAATTGTTCATACATAATTGCTAGATTGTTTAGCATGGTGAGAATTTGTTTAAATTACTTTAAATTGATAATTTTAACATGATTGATTTAATAATATTGTTATTTTAATATTAACTTTAGACTATCAAGATGCTTTCCGTGTACTTTAGCATTCTTATAACAAGTATGAGGTCTAACTATGAATCAAAGTTTTAATTATTTTAAAAATTGTAATGTTTTAGATAATTTCCCCTTAGAACTTTATAAAGGTTCACGAACTGGTATAATTCTATGTATGATTGCAATGTCATTTATAACGTTTTGCGATTTGTTTCGTTGTGGACCATGTAGAATGATTAAAAATCATTTGAATAATTATACATGGGTGAGATTAAAAAAGTATATTACAAGGTAGTTTATAATTATATCCATACTTGTTTATTTTCAGTCTGCTAGAATTTCTATTTTTTACGTAATTTTCATGGTGATTGCTGTAGCATTTATTTTCAAAGACCTTCATCAGGTAAAATAAATATGTCAATGATAAATTCAACTAATTGTTAACAATTTTTACAAACATCAAGGCTATATGGAAATACGAAGATAATATTGATCATGATTACTTTAATTGGACTAGCCCAAAAATCTATCCAAATTTTACTGCAAATGAGAAACTACAGAATATCCAAATGGATTTCCACTGTTGTGGCAACAATGGTGTAGTTGACTTTAACCAACCTGATCCATTAAATTCTACTATGCTCACATTGCCAGCATCGTGTTGCGGGCAATGGACAAGCGACGACTCATGGAAAAAGGAGTGCAATATAACGGATATTGTATATGAACAAGGCTGTATAGGGAAACTTAAATCAGTCTTAATAAACTACCTTGTAACTATTAGTCTGATTTCAATATTTATGTTATTGGTCGAGATTTCACCTATCATTTATAATCGATGGAAACCCGATTGGAATGATTTGTACTATGAAAAATTCTTTAAGTTTAATTGCGAGCTTAGTACAAAAGATACAACTGATCATGATAGAATTAATGATTTTACCGGTACAGACAACAATGATGATGAACAAACTATTGATCAACGAAATCAACAAGATGAAATTTTAGCTGAAAATTACGAGATTGATGAGGGCAATGATGATATTAGAAAGTCAAAAGTACTAGAGGCTATGATTGGTGAAGGGGCATTTGGTACAGTATTCAGGGGAAAAGAACTTGCAACAGGGACAATGTTTGCCGTAAAACAGATTGATACTAAAGGTGATTAAGCATTATGAAATAATTACACAAACTTAATTATTTTGTAATGGACATATTTTAAAAATATATTTTCTATATTCTCAGTTCAAAAAAACCTTAGCATCTAATACTACTAGATGTAATCATAACACGAACACATAATATTTAATGATTTTAAATGAATTTTATTAACCAATGTGTTTAGTGGTTGTAATATATTTTGTAATATAATGCTAATATTATTCTTGAACTTAGTACTTAGACATTATATCTTAAAATAAAGAAATAAACAAGGTATATTAATAACATTCTATTCATTAGGTTTAAGTAATAAGGAAAAGGAAAGTCTAGAACGAGAAATAAAGACCCTGCTCATTGTCAACTCTCAGTTTGTTGTCCAGTACTTTGACTATTGGCACGAATTCGACTGTTTATACATTCAAATGGAGTTGTGTTCCGATAGTCTGCGGGATATTTTGCAACTCAAGCTTCAGTTATTTAACCGCCAAATGGGACTCCCTTTGAATGAATACGAGTACATTATTTCGTGCGAATTGTTTCGTCAGATCTTAGAATGTGTTCAGTATTTGCATGAATTGAATCCACAGATCATTCACAGAGACCTCAAACCCGACAATATTCTGGTCGCTAGGAAAGTAAGGAATGGTCGATTTATTAAACTAGCTGATTTCGGTTTGGCTACTATACACGATAGTAATATTCATAATACTCTGAATAAGCACACGGCCCAAGTGGGAGACCTGAGATTTATGGCGCCTGAGATTATGCAGGGTATAAAATATAATCATAAATCGGATATTTATAGTTTGGCTCTGATTGGTGGCGAGATATTTGATTTGAATTTATCTGGCGAATTAGATAGGTAATTGTGATTTAACTATTATTTAACTACTATTTGATTATGCCTATGTAATTAGTTTGGAACACTACGCGGGTGACGTAAATTTGAATGAACCTGTTCATCGTTTATATTCGCTATTAATTTCAATGATGTCGAGTCCTATGAGTGATACGCGACCAGAATGTAGTGAAGTATTAGCTAAATATAGCGAGTGGTGTGTCGATAAAATTATCCTCAAAAATCGCAATGATTACGATGATAGTTTAAATATGTTTATAAATTGTAATTCATTGTTTTTCTTTAAATTCTTTAACTATATATTGTTAACACGTGACTAAATATTTTAAAATAAAAATTTGGTTGGTAGATTTAAACAAACAACCTCATAATTGATTTTAACATTGCGTATTATTCATATTATATTCTTACAAGTTAATAAAAATGTCTCGATTAAACTTTATATCATATTTAAGATACAGTAAGTCTTTTAAATTGTGTTTATTATAAAATATAATTTATGAACAAAGCCTTAGTTCATCACAAATATAAGCTGATGTATAATCAATAAAATTATGGTAGTATGAGTTTGGGAACTGGTAAATTGACCTAAACTTAAATAATTTAATGAACAATAGACTTTTGACCATTGTAGGGATAGGTAAGGTTAGGTTAGGTTAGGTCAAGGGGAAAATTTTACACTGGTCATCAGGAATATTTACCTACTGGTCATTAAGTTATTTAAATTTAGGTCAATTGGTTTTTAGGTCAATAAACCCGCACCCATGAATTTATTAGTACACTATATTCAATACTTGTATACTCCATAATACATCATTGGAGTTTTAGGGAACCATAGTGGCACTGTATATTTTTATTTTTAATTAAAAATTTGACTCAAAAGCCAATTATTCAAACAATATTCATAGGTTTTTATTAAAAAAATATATTGAGTGAAAGAATAATGTCGAAAGTGTATGTTAAGTTGCCTAAGTTGGAACCCGGGATATTATGGTTGATTCCCATAGACCTTTTAACCCTGAGGCCGAATATGTAACTTATATTGTCCTGTGACCTCGGGGTTGGCCGCAGTGACAAATTTTATAGAGAAAGTTTTCGGAAAAAATTCCATGTGACTAATGAAATCAATGTTGAATTTAACGTAGAATAAGAATATTTTATTCAATTTTATATTAAAATAATATTTTAAGGTATTATGAAATTAAAAAATAATTTTTATAGAAATGTATTTTTCTTATGATATAAACGTAATTTATTGACGAAAATAATTAAAATATATTTAAAACACTTCGTCATCAAATTATATGAAAAGGCAAATAAATAAATATAATTTTTATTAATTATTTGCCTTTTCGTATCATCTGCTGAAATGAAACGAAATTATGGCCAAACAGTTTCTGTCCATTCGAGGTGTGCCACCACGGCCCCGATGGATGTAGAAAAGCCTACTGGTGAAGATCGGCCGAATGCCGATTATGCCGCTCGTGATCTATCACTTAGCTCCCATGGCCTCTCAGTTGGAGACCCACTGTTGATTCGAGGGCGGAAACAGTCTCGACACCGTTCTTCCACTAGATACTTTATCTACATCCTTATCGAAAAAGCAATTCAAG